CCTCTGCTCTGCGTGCAACTGAAAGTTATGGGGTAAGTGTACCTTCAAAACACAGTGTGGATGCCCATACTGTGTATCTTTTCCTATCTGACTTTTACTGCAGTGTTTTGCATTTGTTTTGGAGGTTTGTGAGACTGTGGTTTGTTTGCCCTGTCCGTCAAAAGTAAACACATATGGTGACGTATTGCTGCTTCCCCTTAGGCCCTCCTCATACTCTGGGAGTCAGCTGAATTGTCTCTTTAATTCACTGTCCCAGAAGTGTGTCACACACTACAGCATCATTCATGGATTCATTACATACATGTCACTGCAGGGATGCAGTGTGTCTGCTCCCCAGGGTGAGCTGTGCCACAGGGTTTCCCTAGAGAGCACAGACAACACCATCACTTGTACAGATGACCAATTCTGCATCTGTGCCTTCTTTGGGCCTTTTTTTTTTTCCCCCACTTTTTTTTTTTTTTTATGGAAAGGGGACTTGTCACAAAACCATTTGAGCACGTGCGAGACACTTAACAGTATGGTAAATATACGTCCCTTATCTTCCGTGACAGAAAAGCTTTATAAAATCTGGACGGTACTTCAAAACCATGAAGCTCTTTTCCAACAAACAATCTTTTTTGTGACTCGCTCCAGATAGGCTTTGGTTTGCACTACAATAGTAATGTGGTGCTATTGCTGAAAGTAAAAAAACCCAGCACTGCACCAGCTACTAAGAAGGAGAAAAAATGACTGCTACTGCTGAACCCAGGACAATCAAAGAAACATATCTGTATCTATTTCCTTGTCTATCCCTCACAAAATATAAATCACCATTAACATTGCTGTTACACAACAAAAGTGCCTGTTGAACTCATGGTTACACTTAGCCTATCTTTGAGACTCATTTTGTGTAAATAAAACATAATATTGAATAAAACAGGAAGAATGCACTAAGATGAACAGAAATGTTTAGGAATGAACTAAGGGTACACAAACTGGTTCCTAAGACATGAAAGAACACCTGTGATTTCTTGTGAAGAGCTTCTTTTTGGAAATTGGCCTTCTCATCAGGGGCTGAGCAGGTTTCTGGTGACACTTCCTGGTCTCAGAATGATCTTTCTAAAATGCCTTGTTTAGTTCTCTGTCTGAATCAATAAGATATTCAGAATCTCTCTCTTTTTCATGGTTCCTGGCTGATCAGGTAAGTAACACTGCTTTGTACTTCTGTATCTATCTTGTTCAACAGCTCTCTGATCACAGTCCCCTTGCACGTCCTTTATTTCTTGTCTTAAGTGCCACTTACAAAGAAGGTTGGGACTGACATTCACCTGTACCCATGTAACCTTCTAATTGCTTTGCTAGAAATCCACCTAACACTGTAAAAAAGAATAGTAACAAATGTTGATTGCTCTTGTTAAAACTTTCCTTCTTTACTTAGCTGGCACAGAGATTGGGGAGGATTTGGTAGCTATTCTGGGGTTAATAGTCTTTCTGCCCAAGCAGATGCTTTTAAATGTTGGCTCTTGAAGGCTTTTCCTTTGCCCATTAATCTCAGATCTGGTGAGGCCAGTAAAGCAGTGAGGTGTGCATCTCTGTTTTTACAGTGCTAATGATAGACTTGTAAAGGGGGGCCTGGGGGGGAAGAGGGGGGAGAAGGGCTGTTACTGGGGTTTTGCAGTAACACTGACTCTTTTTCCTGTGCATAGCTATACTTTGACGTGGTATGCTTGAACTTACAGATCAAAGAGACTTACCAGAACGATCCACTTGTGAACTGTTGGCCATTATCTGTTATTAACTCATTTTGAGCACTGTGGTGAGCAAACTGTAATTTGCAGTATGTTATTACATTTCTGCTCACTGTGGTGTGCAGCAGCTGAATGTGTGTGCCTGTGGTAGTCCATAATGAGAAGTAATCTTTTTTAGCTAATTCAAATTGCCAATCTCTACTAAGGTTAAGAATTTAATTGACTTCTAATAATTTTGTTTTTCTCCTTCCTGCCCCTCCCACACCGCATTTAGGAGAGGAGAAGGTTTCACCTTCTCTGTTTCTCTTCAGGACACGCTTTCTTCCAGGAAAATTTGGAAGCACAGCAACAACCTCCTCCAGTTCTCTGCCAGATTTCCTTCAGGATTTAATGATTCAGGTGGCTTCATTTGCTAAATTTTTGCCAAAAAAAAAAAAAAAAAAAAAAAAGCAGCAGTTCTCTACTGACACCGTATAATAAAGTTGAGCAAACAGGAGGACTGGTAGGAGACTTACTTTTATGGCCTGGCTCTAGTCACATGACAGATCAGGTTACAAAATACTAATACCCCTGCCAGATCTCAGGATCCACCAATTCCTCTTGCTACTGTTTTAATCCAACCTGTCTTTTCTTCTTCTTTTTTTCTTTTTCCTAGAGGGCAGGAGGTGAGGGGGAAGGCATTAGGCTGGGGCAGGAGACAGTGACAAGCAAGTATATCATGATTGGGAGTATCCCTTCAGCTCCTTCAGTGTTAGTTCAGCACTTTTTCACCAGCTGAATAGCTTATTCCTTCTGAGTGTTGGCAGCCTTTGGCAAAAGTAAAGCAATGTCAGCATTCCCCTGTTCCATCTATTTTTTGGAAAATGAATCGTTAAAAATATTCCATTTTCACCTTGTTTGCAAGTTGTGATGAAGGCTTCTCCCTCAGTTAAATTGTGACATTCTGGCTTGAAAAACAGCTTCAAGATCAGGCTGATAAGCTAACACACACATTAAAAAAACAAACATTAAAAATCCTCCTTCTTCCTTGTGGAAAGAAATTCAGGAATTCAGTGGAGCCACTTCTTTTATTAGCAGTGAGACACATGTATTTTTGAAAAATTGCTGATAAAACAACAGATTTGGTAAACGTAAACTTCATGCAACTCTCTGGAGTTCTTTGCAGTAGTTTTCCTTCTGTCTCTCCTTCCAGCATGCAGCAGATCCAGAAGCTTTGGTGTTACAGGTTCCTGCAAGAGATCTACCTACTCATGTAGGTAGATGCCCGCTATCTTTGTACAGTCTCCAATGCCATAGCTGCACTGCTGATACCTCAGCTAGGTTAAGGTGGGCAGAACTATGTCCACAGCATACCAAAGGCATGCCCCAGCAACCGAAGTACCTGCTAATAGTGGGTTGAGATTTCTGTGCAAAAGGTGAAACTCCATCCCACAGGCATGGATGCTTTTTGTTGTGTAAAAGGTACAGAGAATAACTACACATCTTTCTCCACCTTCAAGAAAGAACAGCTGTTGTGGTACAGGGAAGTTACGAGATAGGTTCAAGGCAACACAAGACTCCTTGGATGAATTCAAGAGTCAGAATGCAGATGAGAGCTGCAGTCCCTGTGTTTCAGCTACAAGACCACCTATCTTTCCTGCCGTCTAGTGTCTGTGACCATCATAGTTTCCAAGGGGGAGTATGTTGCAATTGTTTTTCTAGTTCTGCTCTTCTTTCACAGGTTGCCTATAACGATCTGCAATGCTATTGCAGTGAACTCATTCAGAGCTCTCTTGAAGACACAGCCCTGCTCTGATTTCTGATAAAACAAGTCTAGGAGTTTGTTATGAGTGCTCCTACAAACAGGCAGTGTTAGAGGAAGCACATATCAGCAGTGACTCCTTGCATCTTGTGGACACTCACTGTAAGCTGTTCAGAGCAGAGACCGCCACTTTCAACTTCACAAAGCTTTTGGCCGGTTAGTGCTTTGGACTGCAGCACTAATGAGCACTTAGAAAGCCCGTTTTCAGAAGACTGAAATAACACATATTCCTTGCTTCAGTTTTTATGGGATTTTTAATGCTACAAGAAACAATGAATTTTATTCTTTTCCTTCCTTAACTGCAAGTAATTCAAGTGCAAAAATATCAGGAGGAGAATACCATCCACAGTGAGGGAAAGGCAGTGCTGGATCTCTACACTTACGACGAGTCCAACATAATGGAGTTAATTTAATAAACTGATAGATTTTGATAAACCGTGGCCGTGTTGTGATGACCCGCTCCATGGGTATTTGTTTCCTTGTTCTTTAGGTGATTTCATTTCTGTGTGTGCAATCACAGCACCCTCTACTGCCTCTTGTTTAGCTTGCAGAAGCGCAGCAAAAGATTGCAAACTGAAAAGGACTTCTAGAGTGGCCAGACTGATTATGAAGGATTGTTTTATAAGTGAAAACAACACCCCACCATGAGAAAGGTAATGCAGGAAGGTATTTCAGTTCTGTCTAGAATGCAGTCGCAAGCTCTTGAATGAGCAGTATGAGTTAATTCCTCAGGGGCTCAGGCACCTATCAGCCTGTGCGCAGTTTTCCCCTTTTATCTGTAAGTTCCACTTCTGTTGGCTCCATGGAGATAAAATAATGAGTGTTCCTATTGAGAAACTAGTTTTCCTAACTCAAATGCTGCTTCCCTGTGTTCCCAGATCAACTAACCTGGGCCTGGCAGAAAACCTCCCTCTTGCCACAACCAGCCCCTGAGGAGCTTCGAGTATTACAGGTGTGAAATGCCTCCTTCCCCGCGCCCAGGTGCCGATCTGCTCTTAGCGGTTCCTTGCACAAATCCAGGGGTGTTCCATCACCGCCGAGCCCTCAGCCGGTCAGCAGACCAGCCACCTCAGCACTGTGCCGGCAGTCAGAACTGCCTTACCTCCCTCCCCTCCCCTCCCCTCCCCTCCCCTCGCCCAGCAGCAGGCCACCGCCACGGCCACCGCCCGCGGGCGCACCCGGCCTACTCGCCGAGTCCCGATCTCAGGCCGGCCACGGGAGGCCGCGAGAGGCCTGCCGGGGAGCGCTCCACCTGAGGGGTAGTGCTGAGCGCTTGGTGCCACTCCCCACGGCTGAGAGCGCAGGAGCCGTTTGCCCGCGGCACACGCCGCGCTGTGCGGGCATGTAACGGGAGAACGGTGCATGCTACCGGCGGTAACCGTCCGCTCGCCAGAGCAGAGCCCCACACACCCGCACCTACCCCTCCCCTGACCAGCTCCTCCTGCGGGACACCAGGGAGAGGCGGGGCGCGGGCGATGTCAGCGCGCGAGGCTGACGTGGCGCTCCTCTCCGCGTGCGCGGCCCCGCCCCCTGCCGCGGCTGCGCGTGCGCCCGCGGGTGGGTGCGCGCGAGTGCGGGCTGCTTCCGGGCGGTGTCGGCGGAGAATGGTGCTGCTGGAGAGCGAGCAGGTGGGGCGGCCCCGGCCTCGGCCCAGGCCCCGCGGCGGGGAGAGAGAGGGCGGCGGCGGCGGGGTGTAGGCGGCGTTGTACCTGGTACCTAGGGAGGGGGTGGTGGGGACAGAAGCCCTGGGCCCGCGGTAGGTGGGGGGAGGGGGGTGTTAGAGGTTGCTTTCCGGGGTGAGAACCTAGGGTTGGGCTGTCCCTGGCTGAAGTCGTGGGGAAGGAGAAGCGGGAGTTCGCCCTCCCTCGGTACTTGTTTCGGGGGGGCTGGAAAGGCCCGGCCTGTGCGAACGGCGCCGGCGGAGAGGGGCAGCGGCTGCTCCACGGGGGTGAGGGAGGAGGAGTGAAGGCCCGTGTGGTGGACTCCCGCCAAGGATGGTGTCTGTCTCTTGCAGTTCTTGACGGAGCTGACCAGGCTCTTCCAGAAGTGCAGGACGTCGGGGAGTGTTTTCATAACGCTGAAGAAATGTAAGTACCGGGTCCGTTAGTGGGTTGAAGAGGTGTGCCTCTAAATCAAACCTGGTGTGGTTAGCATGTGTTTTAAAAGGTGCAGCTGTAATTCAGAGTATCTCAAAACAAGAGGAGTCTTATGGACAAATCATCATCCTAGCTGCAGTACTGATAACCTTAGAAGTTAGACTGTGTTTCAAACTGCAGGAAATATTGGAGCTAATTATTAGTAATAATTGGAAATTAACTTTAGACTTCTATGAAAGGAGAACATAGTGTTGCCTTTGTGTGTGCATGTTTCTCTGGTTTCTGGCTGGCTGGCACTGCCTGAGAAATCAAGTGTCTAGGCTGTGGTTTGACATGCATTTAAAACATACTGTTGTTGAAGCAGGGGCTTTGAGCAGCCTGGTCCAATGGAAAGTGTGCCTCCAAACCCAAACCATTCTGTGATTCATTCTGTGAATTATTTACACTTTTTTCCCTGGCAGATGTAGTTTATTGAACAGATCCTTCTGGGGTTAGAGGAAGGGTTCTGTGAACAAATTTGTGGCATTGTCAGTTCAGATGGCCGTAGATTCCAAGGTGTTTTACAGATCTCATCAGCAGTTTTTAACATCTCACATCAGGAGGCATCTAGTGATTTTAGTGAAATAAATATTATCTGCCTTTCAATACAGATGATGGCCGAACAAAACCAGTACCACGCAAAGGCCATGTAGAAAGTTTTGAACCAGCAGACAATAAATGTCTTCTAAGAGCAACTGATGGAAAGAAGAAAATCAGCACAGTGGTAAGTGACAGTTTTGGGTTAGAAAGATCAGTAGCCCTACCTGTCCTTTATTTAATGCCATGTGTAAGTGAAATTTGTCTTTACATGAATTTCATTTAGAACTACTCTCTTAATTCCAGAGAAACCATATGGTAGCTAAACACATTGCTGATGTTGGGATGCTGAAGTGTTACACTTACCTGAAGTCTTAGTGCTTATGCTCAGCATTACGGATGGGACAGTAGTTCATACATTTGTTCTGTATGTGGGACTTTGCTTCAGAATGGTACTGCGGGACAGTGAAAAGCAACTCTGTTTTCAGCAACCTTGGCTGTTGTGTTTTGAGTTGGTGAATCCGTTTGGAGGGAATGGGGAAACTGCTTCTAGAGACATAGGCAGAAGGATGCAGGGCAGTTATGGAGCCTGCAGTATGTAGGCAGATGCGTGGCTCCAAGGAGAAGAAAGGTCCTGCACACCTACGCTCAGGCCTCGGATGACAAGAGGTAGTTTACTGTAGACTACAGTGAAATTACTGAAGCTTCTTACAATCCGTGAAAAAACTGAATGTTACCAGACTGAACCATTAGGAAAAGGATCCTTGTTTCTTGGCAAGAACATATGGGCATGAGTAGACTCTTGCTTACCATACATTTATCTTTTCATAGAGCTGTTTGTATTTAACTTTAGCAGACTTTAGCTCTCCCCTGTGGTGTAACTCAGGAAAAATGTTACTTCGAGAAATCTTGAGAGGATCTGGGCAATAATGTATCTTTATGGCCCTATGAGTAAATAAATCCTTCCTTAGAATATTTCTTCATGTTCTTTCCATTTGAGAACACATGGATTTGGGACGAATGGCCTCCAGGGGAATTTTATTAATGGAGTAAGGGGTGTTTTCAGTTTTCTAAATTGGTGAAGTCCTAGGGCATTTTAGTACAGCCTACTTACCACTGAATGTGGTGAGTTGATCTGTCTGCTGTTAGGCTGGTCACTTGGTGAGTGAACATGTACTGATAATTTGGTTTGTAATAGAAGTCAGTGTTTTTGTGGCTAACCTCCACTGTTATTTTGTAGGTGAGCTCCAAGGAAGTAAATAAATTCCAGATGGTAAGTTTTGTATGCCTGATATCTTCCTTTTCTGTAGGTACTGGGGAGTGGTCAATAGGAAGCACTGGGCAGCTGTGAAGGGGTTGGCTCAGTGGAGAGCTGCCATGCAGATTAACCTCAGACTACCCATCTAGCTGCATTTATTACAAAAATAAAAATCCCATTGCATTTCATCTGACTTTCTGCATTGATTTAGAAATAGTTTTCCTATGTGGGCTATAAAAGCAAGATTTCTGTCAGACAATGCAGATACGTGTCTCCATTAGCAATACGTACAATGTTATTTCTAGTGTATTGTCACTTGTTCTTATAATGGTTCCACTTCTTATTTCAGGCGTATTCAAATTTGCTGAGAGCTAACATGGATGGCTTGAAGAAAAAAGACAAGAAAAGCAAAAACAAGAAGAGTAAAGCAACACAGTGATGAAAGAATGCCCTACCATCACTGTAACAGACTTGACCCTTGCTCAAAGCAAAGTCCATTTCTTTTTGAGTTACCACTTGTCTTTGGCTTTCCTTCCAGCAGGATACTGGGATGTGATCAGTACTTTTGTTTAAACTGAGAGCAGAAGGTGCTTTCTGTGGATTGCTGTATGGCAGGAGTATCTACAAGGTTATACTGAAATAGCTTTACACTCATCTGCCAACTAGTTTTGTACTTATACTGCTGTTTGTTTTGTATTATACAAGTGGGCAGTGTAAAATCCGTTTAGGGGTAACACGGGGTGAAGAGAAATGTACCAGGAGCCAAAGTAAGACTGGAGCAGGCATCTCAGTGACACAGGCCCAGGTTTATAGATAAGCCTCAGTACTAGGGAAAGTGGGTGCCAATATATTACCAGGAACAGCAGCTTTCCTGTTTCTGTCTTATTTTGAGGGACATGATACCCCTAAGGCAGCCAGCACGGTGCTTGAGCTCTTGCAGAGCCAGGCAGCTGTGCCTTTGCTCTGTGCTGAGCCAGCTGTGCTCACCCTGGCTCAGGGTGGGGGGAGGGCATGACTATGCATCATGTTCACTTCCGACATGGCTTAAAAATGCTCATGTCACCTATACTTTTTTATAGCTTCATTCTGCCGTATATTTGGGGATCTAAATTTCCCCTTACTTCACATCTTATAAAGTAGCTCCTTTCTATGAGCAGATGTAAAAGGTGAATACTTAATTGTTCCTATTAAACACAATGAGAAATGGATGTGGTTGTAATGACTGATGTGACTTGTCTTGATGAATTGCTAGGGATGCTACAGTTATCTTTGCCTTTAGTACTGACTCTCCTGATGCTACTTCATGTATTGCTGCTACAACTTTTTAACAGCTCTCAGAAGTTCTTGGGTTTGTCTTTGAAGTTATCTCTTTATATATTTTAATCTTGTCCTCTTCAAGAAGAGAGCAGGAAAACTAAGTAGGTAGTTCTTAATGCAATGAACTTGCAGTGGTAAAGGAAATCATTTGAGTTAAAGAAAGAAACAGCAGTAAGCTGTTTAAACAAGGTACCAGGTGGGGAGGGAGGGGAAACACCAGTGTATTTGCAGAAATCTCTAACTTCCACATATTCACTCTGTAAGTATTTTGTGAAATACAATGCATAGGTAACTATGGCTGCTGTAACTCATCTTTGTATTTGCTCTGCTTCATTGTTTGTGATGGAGTTGTGTTACAGTTTAGCTTCAGGAAGATATTTAAGATTTCCATCATCACTGTGACCTTCAAACTTAATCTGATGACCCATGTGAGGAAAGGTAGTTCAAAACTTTGGTTATGCCTCTAGCAGGTGCAGGTTTTTACTTCTCTTAAAAGGCCTAGGTTTAGGTCCATTAGGTCTGAAACAAGTTTTTCCTGTATCAGTTTTTATTTCACCTCCCTGAAAGTAGCTGCCTGATTTGAATGCAAAAGTGTAGGCAGCCAGGCTTGTACCAACTCAAAAAGCCCACCCTACAAAGCTTGCAGTATACTTTTCAAGAAGGCTCAGTAGCTGAAACCTTTTATTATATAAAACCCCTTATTCAAAAAAGTTTAAAACAGTTTGTTAGAGGTAACGCATCCTCTCTGATCCTTGAACTGAATTTCAGTGCTGCTGTTGCACGTTGACAGCCAGTCTGAAACTATTAAAAGAAATTTTACATTCACAGCTCATAATTTCTTTTGTGGCATAAGGGATGAGAATTACATGGTAATACATGTCTGTGGCTGTAGTCAGACTTGCTCCTTAATTGCCTATAAAACTTCTATTTCCACTATGTGACATAAATTTACAATTTTATATTACACATGAAATTCAGTCGGGACACATAAAAAAGTCACTATTTGCCTGTCGTAAATTGCTGCAGCTTTTTGAAACTTCTTTTGACAAAACGCTGTTGTTTGTTAGTAAAAGCATCCCACAGATGATGCTTTAAGCACTAAAACAAAACCCTGTATTCATCTCGGTAGCTGTACAGGATAAGTGCAGGAACCCTACAGAGGGAAGGAAAAGAGAAAAGTTTTAAACTTTGGAACTGCAGCGTTGAAAGCTACAATACCTATGGCAAAGTTCAGCAATAAGCTAACAGCAAAGATGCAGTAGAAAAGAAGTTTTAGTTCCTTTGGATATGGCTGCAATTTTCCCCTTCATTCTCTTTCCATTTAGCCTGCTCAGTTTTCATTCAGTGATCTGAAGGGTGACAGCTACACGGTACTCTGTGCAGGCATCAGATGGGAAAGGAAGACTTTATCAGGGATTGTGTTACATTCATACCCAGTAAAATTCCCCAAATTATAGAATGCTATTTGGATGTAATAACTGGGTTCTGTTGCTCACAGCCTTTGAAGCCACAGGAATTAAAAAAACAAAGTTTCACATGATAATTAGTTGCCTTGGTAAACATAAGCAATTTTGGTGCATCTTGAAGAAAAAGGAATCAAAATCTGGTTTTGGTCTCATTTAAAGGTTAAGTAGTACCTTCAAGCTGAACATGGGTTTAAGAAATGCAAATGAAACCCACAACAGGACATAAATACCCAGGTCTCACTGAACTGTACCAGTACCTGCCAACAGATGCAAATTTGAGGCTTAAAACCAGATGTGGTCAGACTCTTTCAGGCTTGCCAGAATGCAACAAGGACAGTACAAGTTGAACATGAATGGTTTTATGCTTAGAAAACAGAAATGGGCTTTACTGCAAGTGTTGGGAGAGCATGCACTGTGTTTGCTTAAAGTCAGCTATGCCAGACTCCCACAGTGTTCCTTCAAAGGAGGAGCTAAATGAATTTTGAAAGGCAAACTGAGTCCCTCCCATGAGAAGAAAGCGTCCTGTAGTATATTAAATATGTATATTTATTTGTATAGTATATATAAAGAGGTATACTTCTGTAGAACAACAGCATACCTGACTGTATGCAATTATTTGCTCTTCAGTTTTATGAACAAAGCAGCAAGTGAGGTAACAGTGGGAACACGTTTTAGAATTTCTTGAAAAGGGTAATAAAAAAAATTCACACATCCAAGAATTTACATTTGACCACAAGTGAGGATTAGATGGCCAGTAAAATTTTCCCATACTCAAGGAACTGTATATGTGTTGGAAATATTTCTTCCTCAGGGAGCGGGAAAGGGGAGGATGAACTAAGAGCAGCTTATTTAAGTAAAGTTTGAAGGCAGAAATAATTGAGGTATTTTATGTACGTGTAAGAGCTTAACAAATTTACCTCTTCTCCACTTTGATACTATAAATTTCATCACAAATTGCTTGTAAGTATGAACATCTCTGTTTTGGCCATCGTGACATCAGCTGTCTCACGGTAACATCAAAGGCTTGTCTATCTCCATCAAACTAAAAATAAAATTGACAAGGATCTATGATACAGTCTTACATTCTCTTGTGAAGGAAACACTTCTCCCAATAGGATTCAGTCTTCTGAACAGTGTGTAATGTCAATGCTCCTTAATTAAACATGTTTCAAACAAAATTCATATAAAGAACATGTGCATCTTGAGTTGTTTAAATATACTAAGAAACTGGTCACTAATTTCTTAGCACTGGTAGTTTAGCAATAAAAAGGTGTAAGCAATGAAAAGGGCTCCCTCAGCTTCACAATGCTGGGCAGAATGTGAGAACTGTGGTGTAAGGGTGGCCAAAAGTGAATGATGCAAGCTGTTCATGTGCCTGGTTTTGGTATGGAAAAGGTGATAAACTATCTCCAAGATTTGGATAGACTGCATAAACTAAGTATTTTGAAAATATTTTCAGACCTTGCACTGGGATCTGATAACCAGACAAACACTCCTTCAGAGGAGCAGATGAAAGGTCTGAAAGCACTTCCACGTAGGATGCCATTCTTGAGTTTGTTCTGTGGGGGCATCCATCTCTAGACCTCCTGACTTTAAAGCTACTATTGTCATTAGAGAAGAGAGCTTTGTCCTTGGTGTTTTTTTTACCTCAGCAAGCAGTTTCTGAGTTGTTAAAAGGTGTCAGTATAATGTTCATATATCAACTTTTTGGCTTCATTAAAAGATATTTCAGCCACTGTACTCTAAGCAACTGCCTCAATATTTTGGGTCCTCCTTCATTAGCAGGTTCAAAAGACATCCATGTTGACACTGCTATTAATGATTATTGGCTTCTGAAAATGAGCAGTAAGGATTCATTTAACTGTTCTTGGGGAAAAAAAAACCAACAAATCAAAAAACCCAAAAAAACACAGCTTTGGCTTAGGACTTTCTAATGCTGTCGTATAACTTGGGCACTTGACAAAAGCATTTTTCTAGCCCGAGTCAAGCTCCTTGGGTAAAAACAGTTCTAACAAGTTTTAAAACCTAATTCAAACTCCTTGAGGAGAAAAACTTATAGGCGAATTTTACAGTCCTCTTCATTACGAACAGAATTTATTATCTATTGTTCCATTAGAGTTTCAACAACAATGTTTAATTGCTTACCTCTAATGATAAGAAGTGTATCATAGTTGCTTTTGGCAGGTCTACCTGTAAGAATATGAAGAAATCGATACTTAACAGTTAATCTGTTACCAGTTTGCTAACTAGATTTCAGCTATACTGAAAGGAGTCAGACTTCTGATTCCTAAAGAAGCACTCCTGCTGGTAGAACTGGGAATTTACCAAGGTTTTAAGTGTTTTAAATAATTTCTTCATGATGGATTCCATTATGGAAAGATCCAGGACAGCAACTGCATCATCCAATTCAATTAAGAAATTAAAATTAATTCAAGCTTCTGCCAAATACTTACTGCTAAAATCTCAATCTCACTTGTTTTCTGTTGCAGGCTAGAAATGAATGTCTGAAGTCTTGTTTGCACCTGGCAACAAAAGATGGGCAAAAGTAAAATACACTGCTTCTGTGACACAGGTAGGGAACACTTATTTTAACAGAAGAGGCTGCTTCTAACACAAGATATAGAACTACATCATATTTAAGCTAAAATTCACATTTAATATCATTTTAAGTAACAGTTCCACCATAATCCTTGATGGGTAGACAGGAAGGAGACTGAGGCTGAGCCACTCCTGCAGCAATGGTAAACAATAATACTGGTACTAAATACTTTGGTAATACTGTACCAAAGTAGACAGAACTGCACGTTACAATGTGTATTCTCATGTATATAGTAAAAACTTCCCTTGTTTCTGGGTGTTAACTTTTCAGAGGAACATGCGAACCTGTGACCGGATACAGTGAATTGTATCTAGTTGAAGAATAACTCATTTGAAAGCCAAACCAAGGTACCAGTCATGCCTTGCAACACTTTTTTCCCAGAGCAAGCAATACTGCAAAGGTAGTGCTTTACAGATGTAGTTGCAGCCTTGCACTATATTGTCTTTGTACCTTAGAAAGATGCTTTTGTGTATTAAAACCCTGAAAACAGCAAGTCTGTTTAGCTCAAAGCTCAGAGAGTAACATCCACTTCTTTTATTTGAGTTCCAAGTACTATTTATAAGGGAGGATTTTCTGTTGCACACCCACAGTTGGGCTGAGAGGGTGATAAGATTACAGTAATGTTTTACTTTGTACTCTAAAAAGCCAGTAGCCATGAATGACTAACTCTTGACATTTGTTTCTAGTATCAGTTAATCTTTTCTACATTATTACAATATTACATTTTAGGTAGGGTTGTTTGCTTAAATCTGCTATTTTTTAGACTGAGACAGCATAATGAAATACATAAGTATCTGTTACATACATATTACGAATTAACAACATG